CCTGGAAAAGGAGTTTGCAGGCGTAGGGCACCCGGACCTGAGATATCTGGGTTTTGTTGCGACAATTTTTACACTCAAACGTGTTGTTCCTTAAGTTGGCGATACATATGAGTCCACACAAGTTGCAGATATGGACGCGATAGGGATCGGACACTTCAAACAGGCGTTCCCTTAAGAACTGTGCGGCGCCGTGAGATATCTGACAATCTCTCTCCATCTCACCAAAACGTAGGCCTCCATCGCGCGCCCGACCCTCCATAGGCTGTCTGACGAGTATCTGAACGGGTCCTCTGGCTCTCGAGTGGATCTTATCGTCGACCATATGTTTGAGTCTCTGGTAATAAGTGGGACCAATGAATATCTGAGCGCTCACTTTCCTCCCGGTGTGCGCGTTGTACATCACTTCATAGCCTCGCAATTGATAGTTGTATTCCTGTTGACAATCAATTAATTCAATGTTTTTGAAAACACGAAAAAACATTCAATTCTTACATGAAGTAAATCAGAGATCTTCTGCACGTTCACCGTATCGTTGAAAGGAGTGGCGTCTCCTATCTCTCCCTTATTTGCCGATACCTTTCCCTGAAGACATTCAATCAAATGTCCGATTGTCATACGGGATGGGATAGCGTGCGGATTGATTATAATGTCTGGTGTTATTCCCTCACAAGTGAAAGGCATATCCTCTTGTCTTTTAATGCAAGTATTTCATACGAAAACATAATCATATTATAGCCGTAATATTCGCTTCAAGTACTGTATTTGCTATAGACTTACCGGTAAGATATACCACACGTTCCTTTCTGTCCATGTCTTGAGGCAAACTTATCGCCAATTTGTGGTATTCGTACAGAACGGACGCGTATTTTGCAGAACTTGTAGCCCTCGTTGTTGATTGTGATCATCACCTGATCAACGATTCCGGTCTCACTATTCCTGAGGAAAGTGCTCGCATCGCGTTTCGTGTATTTCTTGATCTGTCCCTCCAATTCGTCCTCATTTTCGGGCAGTAAAGACGTCTTCCCTATAATCACGTCATCGCCGGACACTCGAGTGCCCGGAGCTATGATGCCGTCGTCCTCGAGCTTGTCGTAGATGGCATTCCTCATGCCCTGACAGGTGTCACGAGTGGGCCGTTCGAACTGTTCCTCCTGATCGCCCATTCGTTTCTGTTCCGAGTCTTTATAAGATCTATAGAATACGGATCTAAAGAATCCGCGATCGATGGCAGAGGCGTTCAGAATGACTGAGTCCTCCTGATTATAGCCCGTGTATGACATGATCGCCACAATGGCGTTAATTCCTGCCGGAAGTTCTCTGAAGCGCAGGTATTCCATGGAACGGGTGGTGACTAAAGGTTTCTGCGGGTAGTAGAGGACGTGCGCCAATGTGTCCATTCGGACGTGAAAGTTGGTTATGTAGACACCCATCGCTTGCTTACCCATAGCGGACTGGTATGTATTACGAGGCGATTGGTTGTGATCAGGGAATGGGATAATAGAGGCACAAACACCTAATATCATCGATGGGTGAATCTCGCAGTGCGTATAAGTGGAACAGTAGGCCATTTCGCTGTCCTGGAGGTCGTCCGGAGTCATCGCAATCATGACAGTCTCCTCTTCGAGAGTATCGATGTACTCGACGACACCCGAAGCCACCAAATCGTGCCAACTATAGCTGTTATACTCCCGTTCCTTAAGCATCTCTATGTGACGCTTCTTAAGCAACAGTTTCTGATTCTCAACGATCAGAAGTGGACGACATATCCTCCCGGCGTCCGTATAAATACGAATCTCACGATCTCTGATATCGCGAACCATCGATACTTCAGACACAATAATATCCATTTGACGCCTCAGTTTCCTCAATGTGTTCATCAATAGGTCGGGCTCTCGATGTATGCCAACCCAACAGCCGTTCACAAAGATCTTTGTGGCTTCAGATATAGCTGACGGCGCGATCTCTTCCAGGTTTTCCATCGACCACTCCTCTAAGAACTCGAGTATAGGTGACGGTTGAGAACCGACAGATATATATGCCATGAGAGCCAAGTTCTTGACGAGACCGACGGCGTGTCCCTCAGGCGTCTCTGCGGGACATATCATTCCCCACAAAGTGTTGTGCAATTGACGGGGTTTCGCGAGTTTGCCGTCCCTTCCAATCGGCGAATTCACTCGACGTAAGTGTGAGAGAGTGGACGCATAGGTCAGTCGGTTCAACACCTGTGAGACGCCAGCCCTGGCCGTATGTGCCTTCTTCTGGTCGCCCCAATTGCCGGTCGCCAACGAATACCGCAAACCATCGGAGATAATGCGAGTCTTTATGGCTAACTCTAACTGAAAGTCTTTGCCCCTATCGATGAACTTCTGGGCATACATTCGCACCTCTTTTGTTAAGTTACGGAACAGACCTCTGAAGAGGTAAGCGAGCAGAGGTCCCGCCAAATCGAGACGTTTATTGCCGTAGTGATCGCGGTCGTCGAGCTCCCGGCGCCCGAGGGCTGCCAACAGGAGTCGGTGAACCATATATCCTAAATAATAGGCTTTCTTAGTCTCGCAGAAGTCACTGACGCCGACGTGTGGCAGCATTTCCTTCTGAAGGATCTCTCGCGCGTATTTGATTCGCTTCTCTTTGGTAACACCGGGTCGGGCGCCGCGAACGCCGATGAAGTTGAGGGCCACGTTCTGCTCCTGAACCACAAACGCCTCGTCCAGCGACGGCTTCACCATTTCCATCATCTCCGGGTCCTCGAAGTCATAGATGATGTGCTCGAGAATGTCTCTGTCGGCCACGAATCCCAGCGCTCGGAACACAATCATTATAGGGATCTCTTGTTT